ACCATCTCTTTATAGGCAGCCCTTACACCGCTACTGTCGTGCTTGAGACCGAAGTAGTGAATCAAACTAACGTGGTGGTATCGATTAAACGGGAATCCACGAGTGGTCATCTCTTGGTAAATCATCTCTGCGAGGCTTAGTTTACCCGCCTTCGATGCGACGTCGAAGAGGATATTAAAAGTCACGGCCGAAGCTTTAACGCCAGAAACCTGCTCCATCTCTCGCCAGAGATGAAGCGCTGCCTCGAGCTCGACCACTGTTGATGTTCCCACGTATCGACTGGCAAACGACATAGCGGTATTCCATTCCCTTACTGTCAAAGGAAACCCGCTATTTTTCACGTCTGTGACCACAGAAAAATACCGTAACATGGACTTGGAATCCTTCCGCTGTACCATTCCTAGGACTGCGAGCAGCTGATGTCTCAATCGAGCCGTGATATGCAAAACACGAGGTTCTGGAAGTGACAGGTATAGATCAAATACGGTGTCTAAGTCTATCGCGGCGGGACGCCTGAGTTTGAGAAGCACCGCCTCTTGTAGCTGTCGAACTTCCATTGTTTGGCCGTAGTTGACGGATTGGAGGTTGACATCGTCTTCACTATTCGAGACTACAACATTCGGTCCATCTGCAGGGGCGTATCTCCGTAGGTAAGGGTCCCTCAAAAATTCAAGGTGCTCCTCCACAGAGGTGTCATCGTACTGATCGACGACTTCGAGAAGTTCCTGCTTCGATCTGGCCTCCTGTGTCGGCAGAACGATATGAGCTGTATTCGCATCCGTGTGGTTCCAATTGCGGCTGAAGAAGAAAAACGGATTGATGGAGCTGGAACCTGAAGGTCGGCATCCCCGTGTTGCTACCGTCGAGCCAATGTGTCTTGCGAAAATGAGGGTGGAAGAAATAGTATGCTTCTTCCTAGGTCTTGCTGTACAGCCGCAGCCGGCGGCAGCGAGCAATGTGCCCCTGGCAGCCTCTCTGTGACCATCACGTACCCCCGGACCAAATAACAAGGGACCTGAGATCAAGGTTTGCGAGGGTCGACGGGAGAGTATCGCGCCGTAGATCGACCCGTCAATTCGAATAGAGATTCTCATGAGCTGTCCCGCATGTTGGTCCGGTCATCACACCTTCTTCACGGGTTCGACAGCATGGGTATGGCAGGGACCGTAGGGATTTCGAGTTCTTTTTGGGGGAAATCGAACTTTTCTTTACTGACGATAGGCCCGCGATTTTCTTGGAGTCGAGTTTATCGCAGAGGAAAAAGCGATTGATAAAATGCACAGGGGTCCCTGGCGCGTGCATGAAGCAGAGTACCTCAGCATAGAGCTTGGTAAGTATCGTTAGAGTAAGTTCTCATATATAATACACCTTTAGATACATGATAAGAAGAGCAAAAAAGCCCTGTTCATGTACCGTGGGGCTCTCTCGGCCGGAAGAAACAATTGTCCCAGCTAGCTTAGACCCACTAAACCGCGCAGCTTCAATTGATTTTGTAGATTTCGATTTAATCACTTATAGAACACCGAACTTGGCTCTTTTCGAATCCTCGACATAGCGCCAATCGCTCACGTTCCCTCGTCTTCTGTGCAGAGAGGGGTCACCCGATCCCTGATACCTCACGATGGGCGCCCAAAGACAGATCCTGCCGGGCAAGGTGTATCAGACAGTAAAGACATTAATGAACCATCGAATCTGGCCAGAGGTCAAAGTCCAGCAGCCAGTATGGTACAAGGTGGTCGAGTCTATACCCCCGGCCGAAATCCTCACGAGGCCACTTCCACCTCAACATAAGAAGCCCAACCCAAAGACGCGGAGACCGAGCCGATTATTCCAGCCCCAACAATTAGTATACGAAGAAGACGATCTAAGGAGAACCTTCTATAAAGAGCACCCTTGGGAGCTAGCGAGGCCGAGGATGATAATTGAGATGGACGGGAAAGATGCGCAGAGATATGATTGGTCTAAGGGTCTAGTACAGCCAGGCATGCCGTTATGCGGCGAATCGTAAGCGTTCCTCGAGTTAACATATATCAGGTCTGATGGAATATGGATTAACCGCTTATCGCAGTGTTGTTCAGCGCCAGATGTGGATGATGTATAACATTCCAGACATGACAAAAGAGAAAGCATACGATATAGTGCGACGGGAGTTTTACGCTCTACGACAAGAAGAGGATATCGAGCGGAGGATAGCAAAAGAGGAGGCCCAAATGGTGGGCGCATACTTTGGCAAGTCCTTCTTGCAAGTCGGTGTTGAACTTGAGGATGCGCAGTATCAGATATGGCTGAATTGGGCTGGCAAACAAATCTCTGCAGTCCAAGCAGAGCAGAGCCAAGCATATACCACCTTTGGAGACGAGGATGCCGAAAATACCAAGTTGGAAGAGATAGAGGAAGAGATTGCAGAGAGCGATCCGGTACAGCAATAGAACCGGCAGCAAGTCATATTTTCGATGTAACACATCTGTATAAATTCAACCGAAATTTACACCAAGCCCTTCCGGGTCGACTCGTCACTCGCAGAGTTTGTGAGTATGATATTAGCAGAACCATGCATCTATCCCTTAATTCGCTCGCAATGCTCAATAACTTGGAAATGGGGTATCTTTTTGAAATGCAACTCCTCCATGACTCCTACGACTCCTCTGACGTAGCACCGCCCAACTGTTCCATCCGTTGTAGGTATGTGCGCCGCTGTGTCGATCATGTTAGTCAGTAGCTACGTGACCTATCACTTTCCGGACTTACGATAGCTCTCAACTTTTGCTTATGTTCCTCGTGAGACGATCTTGTGACGAGCTGTGACAAAAGGACGCATGCTTCGCCATAGTATTTCAGGGCGAAGTCATACGATTGAGTATTATCGAGTTGAACCGCAGTGTTTGCTTTGGCTAGAGCTGTGGCGAGCATCGCCTTTGAGGAGGGCATTTCGATAGCTTCGACAGATTCGTTTATTTATATTTTTCCTTAAGAAGACAAAGATTGGTTGATCATGACTGATTTATACAAAAGTTGAAACCCATTGGGTATCAGGTGCCAGTCGTACAGACGAGAGGGAGATGGGACGATCTGAGACAAGGGGTGCGGGTACCTGCATATTCACATAATGAGCCACTATATACACCTAATGCGTTTACGGGGCGAAGCCGGTTGCGCCGTTTCCGAACTACTTTCGATGAACAGTCATTAAAAATACTTTGATCTACAAAAGAACAGGGTAATTCTTCGAAGAAAATTCTCTTATTTTTCTGTTCCTCTGGCTGATTTTTTTAATTTTAAATTTTTTGGTCAGGACCCTGTCAGCCTTAACTATCATCTTCTACAGCCCAGAAAAGAACATGGCCGGTGATCCGATCAAGAGGACATACCTCTCACTACTCGAAACATCGGATAGGTGAGCATACCAATACAAGAGAAAATAGAAAGAGATTAGCTAACGGGTCCTAAGTTTTCCTTACGATGTAACATCCGCAGAGGCATACTATCAGTTGCTTTTACCCAATGACGACCAACCGCATGGGTATCTGCTCCCAGAAACGGTCCAGAAGATGCCATGGACCTCTCACTTTCACGTCAGCCATAGCCAGCCTCGGAGTGTCACGGTTCTAGACTCTGCTGGAGGCCAAGACACACCCGGCGCCGTGAACGCTGCTTTTCAAGAGTTAGTGAACATTTGCATCGAGCAGAACCTATTTCACATTATAGACGGGAAACACAGCGAGCCATTCTCCATCGTGAGCGCAAAGTACTCATGCCACATGGAGCGTTTCGCAGCAGCGCTTTTTGGCATCACTTGCCGTGGGGCGTACATCACGGCGTATACCAGGACAGACGACGGAACGATGAAGCTCTGGATACCGCGCCGCGCAGCTCACCTGTACACCGGTGCCGGCATGCTTGACGGAACCGTGGCAGGCGGTATCAAAGCGGGTGCCTCCCCTCTCGAGACGGTGATACGCGAAGCAGACGAGGAGGCCTCGCTGCCCGAAGACCTTGTCCGTGAACGCGTGCGCCCCGTGGGCGTCATAACGTACATAAGCGTAACGGGATCCGACTTCCCGGGAGAAAAGGGGCTCGTAGTGCCGCTGATCAACTACGTCCACGACCTCGAGCTACCCGGCGACGTCGTCCCGAAACCAAATGACGACGAGGTTGAGCAGTTCTACTGCATGACGGTCGAGGAGGTGCAGAAGGCGCTCCTGAACGGCGAGTTCAAGGCGGACTCGGCTGTCGTGCTCATCGAATTCTGCATCCGCCACGGCATCATAACCGCGGATAACGAGAAGGACTTTATAGAGATGAATATGCGCATACATCGCAGGCTGCCTTTTAGGCTGCCTTGATATAGCTTGACGAGGGCGTTGGTCTGTGGGTGGGTGGAACAAGGCTTATATAGTTAGACTTAGAAAATCATCCCTATAAGGGGAGGGAGGGACTTGATAAGCCAAGCAACTCGATTATGATACTAGTTGCGGCCATGGGCATTTAGACGCAATAGAGCAGGGGACTCCTCAGGTGTAAAACAGCATCTAGACATAGATTAGATCTCGTGTAGCCGTCGTACGATATCACGGTATACCTCGAATAAATATGAATTTTGCAACTAAACAGAGTATAGAAATATTCGTTCTGGGTATCTCAACAATTACTCAGATATAGTCATCTACTCAACTTGCCACTGCTTTGCTAGTAGGTCCAGTCACGAAGAAAATCTCGTTACAGCAAGCTGTAGAGGGATATACACGCGAAAGCAGGGCATATGTAAATATAGGTAGTCAGTACAGGCTTTACGCTATTCATTACTCTCTCAACTCCATAATAAAATCTAAGGGGTATAGCTACTTTAAAAGTGCCTACGATAACCATCCGAACGGTATGTATGCTAGGTCAAATGAGCATGGGTAGGTGTAGTCAATAAATTCCGTAGGCTAGACGTTATAACGCCTCGGAAACAATCGAACACCCAACAAGGCTTTGAGTGCGTCCGCGCCTGCTACTAGGATCACTTGGTGAAATGGTATCGCATCACCTCCCGGTATAGGGGCTTGGTGAGGTTGCGGGTTCGATTCCCGTAGTGGTCTACAATTTTTTTTTTTTTAAAACGTACCCCTACGTTAAGTTGTGTTCAAGGACTCATCTGATGGCAGAGCTCTCCACCTAGGTATGTATGCTATCCTTGGCTGGTTCCTGGACAAAACAAGCGCAAGGCCACACTTTTGGGGGGTCTTGATTATTACAACAGTCACATCGTGCTTTCAGACTAAGAAATAAAGGGAAAGGAAGCCGTCAGCATGTACTTTTTGTAAGAAGACTTAGCTGCGAGTTTTGGATGAACCGTGCCAAGGTCAATATGGTCGAGTGTTTTATAAAATACTACAGCATGGTTTGGGGTGACTTCGATGTAATACGAAAATAGAGCTAGGAAAAACACGGCTACGATCTGCCTTGAATTTGGAAGACACCTATCACAAAACACAGAAGACAAGTAATTGGAAGAGCGTTTCTTGTTTGGCACTATGACGACTGTACGCAAGCCTGTGTTGGCACTAGTTGCCAACCAGAACTATGCTACTGGTACACGAAGCCCCTTTTATCGCAAAGGAAACACAACGCAGTTTGTACCAACCACTATGGGTTCATGTCTCGGTTCATATGGGACTGTAATCAACTCGGAAAGAGAAACAAAAGCAACCACGTCCTGAATCACTTCCTCTGGTTCATGTTCCCCATGAGACCTGCCGCCGATTCGAAATGAATTCTGAGTCTGCCTGAGTGACGTCAAGAGTCAGTGATATTGAAAGGGTAAGACGGGTGTCGGGATAGCTTGATGGCATACCTTAGATACGAAGTATCTAGTTGCTACGCCGGGAGGGGGGGCGAGGAATTCGAACGTATGGTACGGTGGGCATCGCGACCATGTTAGAAGTGAAATACAGATCATCGCTGTCAGCGAGCTGACGGTGCTGGACGATGAACATATCTGCCACCTGGAAGAGCTTGACCAGCTTCCCGGTGAGACTCAGTGTGTTGACACGTGCCCAGCTCTCCACGTAGATCGTCTTCATGAAAGGCTCGGGAACGATGCAGAGAACCTTCAAGATGTGAGCGACCAGAAGGAACAAGAAGCCGGTTCCGGGACCGTTGGTAACGATCACGTTGGGGAACTGGAAATACGGCCTCTGGCGGGTAGGCGGGACGATAAGGATCTCGATGACGTTACAGATACACTTAGTAGCGGTTGCCAAGGTCGAGCTCCAGCCCTGATGGACATGACGAGCGCGGTTGAAGGAAGCGATGTTGAACGTGTCGATAGCCGCGCCGCGGACTTGAAGATTTCCGATACGCTGCTCGAACTTGAGGACCTTCTGGAAACTGATCGGGTCGTCGGCTCCGATAGCCCAGCGTCGGTGGCCGATTTCTTCGATTCGAATGCTACGGAGAAGCATTCGCAGCATCTCACTGGTGTGACCGCCGGAACCGCAGATGACCAAAAAGACGCCGGGGGCACCGCGTCGCGGGAACACGCTGTTCTGAACACGACGGTCCTCGATGTGGTGGCGTCTGAAGACTAGAATGCAGTGGCGGAACTGCGTAGTTGTTAGCAAAGTAATGAATCGGGATGAAGTGGGTATGCTTACCACGACGAAGGCCATGGTGATGAGCATAACCATGTGCCAAGAGAACACGAGCGCAACGCAGAGCATACCGACGATAATACCGGTGGGGATGACCTTAGAGCCTCCGAACCATGCATGCTCCGCTGCTCGTGCGAGCATCATGCTGACGGGTACGAGTCGCTTCTTGAAGGCGGTCGTCAAGACGCTCTCGCGATCGCGCTCCATCTCGGCGACGCTCCGCTGAGGCTCGCGGATGAATGGCAGAGATGGGTTGGGTTCGCTGTCGACGTTGTCAACAGTGGGTGATGGTGGCTGTTCAACTGTTCCAATCCGCGGAAGAATTGGATTGTTGTTGTTTCCAGGTTCGGTGCCAGAAGAAAAAGCTTCGGTGGGACTGCTCTTATTGCTAGCTGGAGCACCGGGGATTTCCTGCCCCTTGCGGCTGCGCTGCGGCTGGGAAGCCATATTGGACAGCTGCGGCTGGTGCTAAAGAATTGGAATCGTCGGGGGCGCCTCGAGGGTTGCACGGAGCGTCAACGTTTCTCGTAAGACGCAGTGCGTATCGTCAGGGGCGCACTTGTTCCTTTGAGCCAAAAAGGGGCCGCCGCGTTCCTGATAACACAGATCGATATAAATAGTATAATAGCTAACCAGCTTATAACTACAGCTTCTATAGAGGAGGAACAACGAGGGCTCTATTCCTTGAAAAGGCCAGGTGACCCCTAGATGAACCGGGTCGAGATCACTCACACAGACGGTAAGTTGATCAGTGGCAAATACTCGACCGTAGCCCCTATTTTGGACCCCGGTGGTACTAACATAACTTGTTAGCAAGCTCGTGAGACAGACATAGTAGAACAAATAAAGGACAATGAAAAACGAAATGTCAACATAAGCGCATCTGTAAAGTGCCATCCTATATGCCGGCCACAATGGCTGGGCCGGGTGGCTTAAACTTCTGAGGGAACCAAGAGTTTATTAGTACTATAGAGATAGCTTGCTTGATAGACGTTATATTCCGTGACGGATGTATAACAAGGTTGAATCCGGCTTGATATAAACTACAGGTGACGTTGGTAGTTGGCACCCGGAGTAGTGACCGGCTCGGAGACGGGCACGGAGATGCACGGGGCAGGCCGGAGCCATGGTCAAAGCCCGAGGCAAGGCACAAACTTGCCCCAGGTTGCACAGGAAGTGACGATAGAATTCCAGAAAGCAATATTGAGGTCGTCTTACCTTTTCTTCTATCCTAGGGCCTTCTACCCGTCTCTAGCAACAACATCTTTCCTCTATGGGATTTGGCAAAGATTTATAAGTGTTATAGCGAAGCTGCTTTCATATAGGGTAATCTGTTCCTGACACTTGTTCGGGTAAGAAAGGTTAGGAAACGGTACCTTGCATTGGCATGTAAACCGTTATACATGGGCTCACGAAGAAGAATATTATTGGTTAATTTGATTCAATACGGTCTATTCTTGCATTTAAGCGTTCTTTAGCTTCATTAGTGTGGCTACTTATACTGATGTAAGCAAACACAACATTCCATGCGATTGTTCCCCCTGTCCCCTTGTCATCCTTATCGATTGGATCTGCTAGATCGACTGCTGGGGTATTGTCTTATCGCGTCGCTGTACCCAGCAAAAACGCGCTCAGGCAGTTTACACCTAAGCCCAAGTCAAGCGAAGATCTTTAAAAAAAAAAAAAAAAGTTGAAGCATCGCCTTCAATTTTCTACATCGATTCTTGAAGCTCATCGAGCACAGCTATATCAAACTTGTTGTCACGCACGATTGAACCCTCTTCTACTTACACATACCAGAGCTACGGCCTACGAATATGGCGGCCTTACGGTCGAGGAAGTACTTAAGTTGCTTCTACTGCGGAAGAAGATCTAAACTGCGATTTGAAGGCCAGAAGTCATTTGACTGTTCGAACTGCGATGCGACGAACTGGCTAGACGAGGTCGGTATATTCGGTACTCGAGGCACCTTGGAAGTGCCATCGAGACTTTACGTTAACGTATGAATTTAAAGCTAATTATATAACAGCATGGAGACATCACCGATCCCCCCTCCGCGGAACCCGTCGAGCGAAGTCAGGTCCAGTTTGCGATCCCTCGTTCGTCAGCAATTCGATCACCGTCGCCATCGATATCACCCGGACCAGGCGCAGAAGAATCAATCTTTTGCGACACGTGTCTGAGGAACCAGCATATGCTCACGAGTTCCCTTGCGCAATTCGAATGGCCAGAAGATTCGAGTGGTGCCGAATACGTCGCCCGAGAGCGAAAGTATTACAACCTTCGAAAGGACCTCGAGAAAAGATACCCTCAGATGTGCGCACAATGTGAACCCAAGGTGGATGCGAAGCTACATGAAGCTAGCTACAATGCACAAACCGACCATTTACGTCGAATGATGGATCGTACGCGACTACAACGACGGGAAGTGAAGAAACGAGGCATCCTGGATATTTTCGACTCTGCTGGGAAGTGGTGCTGGTATCTTGGTTTCGTTCTTCAGTTTTCATGGCACATATCCATGCTATCTTCCCTTGTCACGGGACTGTATATCGGGAGTATAACAGACTCCTGGATGACTACAATCTTAAGCCGCATACAGCGGCTCAGCTACAACCGATTACCTCATACGGACCAAATCATGCGATGGGCGATCAATCTAAGCATGTGTTCATTGCCGTGGAACCCCCGGTTCAAGCAGACGATTCGGGGCTTCACGGCGCACTACCTGGGGTTTAAGCAGTGGTACACGTATCAGCTGCTTATACCACTCGTACGGTATGCTGGCTTGTCGATGGCACAGTATAGCTACTCAAGGGGGCTGTCAATGTCGGCGCAATTAGGAGCGCAACTCGCCATAGCGCTACTGATGGTCTACGTAAGTATATAAGCTGAATTCGTACTTTGTGGTGAGCTAAGACATATTCCAGGTATATCATGCGTCAAGAAAGTCCATTCATACGGACACTACACCTCTATTTCGCCCACATTCAAAACCTACCAGCCCGCGGGTATCCCGGGTCGTATCAGAATCACCTAGGCAGGCCAATGATCTTGGAAGCATATTGGATGAGATAGCCAATTCACCCACGAAGCCGTATTTCGAGTCGCCAAATAACTCTCCCCCGAGCTCAGGTCCTCACCAAGCATCGGCCGCAAGTAACGGGCTGTTCGGCAGCACTTATAATAGACCGCGAGAGAACAAGCCCGAACCTGCTTTTAATTCCCTACGTCTCTCAGACCCGGTTACTGCTGAAAAGCAAGCACCTCAAGCTGTTCACTACGAGGAAGAAATGGACTGGTCGCCGTCCGCTTCACAACACCGAGCTTTCAGTTCATACAACCCGTACAAGGTCAAAAACACCAATCCGCGCTTCAGCGATACCCCGATAGAACCCAAACCTGGACCGATCTGGTATAAGGTTCCCCCTGCGCCTATCACCCCA